AGAATTGGACTGGGTACCCACCAGGACCCGAGGAAAGGAGAAGAGACAAGAGATTCCAGTTGATAGCGACTAAACAACCTTACCGTCACGCAGCCGGTTAAAAACAGAACTTTATCTACTCATACTACCCAATCACGGCCAGTTGTAAATCGCTGCCACTTAGTTTCTCTCAGTCTACTATACTCCCTATCTTGTTACCCCTTTTATCTTGTATTGAGCTTAATTTAACCTCGCCTCTTCGTTTGTATGTGTCAGACGGACTTTGGAGAACGATGGCACACGGCATCCATGAGGGGTGTGCAAAGCGTACGCAAACACGACGAACGGCGTAATGCTTAACACAACCAATTGAAATTCAACCACTGTGCCTTACCCACGATGCCCGCTACTCGTCTGGTAAGCCCTGGTGTTCCAGCTACCGAGCGACTCTTTTAATCCTATTTGACAATCAGCAGCGAAAACGGCAACACCAGGAAGAGCGAATTCGCAACGGACTCGTCCACAAACTTGCTCCTGAAGTTCTGAGCAATATATTCATTATTTGCGGTCGTCTCTGCGAGTTTGACGTTGAAATACCATATAAATACAGATTCCCAATCGTCATCTCTGTAAGGCGCAACACCTCTTGGCCATGGATAATATCCTAACATACATGATTTGACTAGGCGGTCTGCCGTCAATGGAGAACCATAGCCATTAGGACATGCGAGGTTTGTAATCTCCTGTGATGTCATCCTATTCTGACAGTCAGTTTATCTCTAGCTGTGGTCGCGAATCACACTCGACGATCCCATACCATGGACCCGCTCTGCACTGTACCTCGCTAGGTCCGGAGAGAGTGCGCCTCTCGACATCGACATTGACATGACTGAGTCCTTTTGGAACTTGACAGAAGATGGAACCACCGAAAACTGTACGGAGAGAGCAAGAGATGCGCTCAATTTCATTGTATCTCATGGCGGGGTAACCTCAAGGTGGCGATCAGTGGTCATTGGCACAGACGCGTTCGGCCCACACCGCACAGTACTCGATTTTCTGAGGTCTTCTCCGGTGCCAGAGCTCCGACTCCTTGAGCTGCAATTTAATGGACCAGCAGAATTCGATTTGGATGACGAGACTGCCATGCACCGTGCTACAGCCATCAAACCGTTGACACTATTCAAACATCCGCCATCCAAGTTGCACTCAATCAAGCTAGGAGGTGTCCCCAATCCGTTCATTTTCGGAAAAAACCAACTTTGTCTCCAGAGTCTGACTAGCCTGAGTTTGGTATTCGTTGACGATGTCCCGAAGCTGCCTGACTTCAAGGCTGTCCTTCAGGCAACCACTCAGCTCGCCGTACTCCGTTTGGACTTTGACATGGTTGCTCCTCTCAAATCCCACAAATCGACATTCAAATCACAGATTCAGTTAGATCACCTCAGAGAGCTAGAGTTTTCGAACGTCGAGGATGGGCTTTGGCCGCTGAATCTTCTTATGATGTTCAAAGCGCCAAACCTCGAGTATCTGAACATTCACGTTGCTGGTAGCGGTTGTGATAAACTGCTAGACTATGTAGCTAAAGGGGGAAACGAGAGATCGCCTCAGCCTCTGTTTCCTTCTATAACTCACCTCCGCATCTGGCTCGACGCTAATGACTATTTCGCAAAACCCAGACTACGGTCGCTCCTATCTGCGTATCCACAAATCACCCGCCTTGACATTGCCTTTGGTCCACTTGATGCACTAACGATTCACCCATGGCTCGTCCCCAGCTTGAAGCACCTGATGGTCGTGGGGCGCCGCGGTGCAGAGGTCAAGCGAGTGGTTGCTGCACGCCACAAAGCGGGGTTGCCTCTCGAAGCTGTAGACTTTGATGACTGGTCCAGTCACCTCATGAAGCCTGCTGAGAGAAAGTATTTAGAAAGCAAAGTGAACCTGAGATTCATTAGCTTCGATGGAGAGGACAAGGAAGTGGACTGGGACGTTGAAGTTGGTGGCGAGGATCCTTATAATTGGTACGGTATACGGCGCGGATTAATCTGATATTGGGTCTATGGAATTTATTAGTGTATAGGTACGTGAAGCCGCTTCATCACATCTGAGCGTTCACATAGCCATTTGGATTCCTGGCATTCAGGCGTATGAGATGGCCGTATAACAGACTGAAAGAAACAAATCCGCCTCCCCCCATAATATTTAATGATATGCGTATGCGTCTTTTGTATTATACTAGCCTTGGAACTGCACGTTTACCTCCTTATTACCAAGTATATATCCTCTAGTTTAGCCTTGAATCCCAATTCTATCTGCTTGTAATTCTGATGTGATTATGTGAGAGTGGCGTGCTTGTAGTTGCTTGGAGTATGCCGGAATCAGATTTGTCCGCCCTTCCGCTCATCGTCTGTATCGACGCCAACGCTCCCAAAGTCAGTATACCATATACCACAGTGCTTCTTCTATGATATTTCCGGAGCATTAATGACGGGAAAGAGACTGAGCGGATGGGATGATTGCGTTCAAAGGGATGGATGGATACAGATTCTTGTGGATGGATTGGTTACGAGCGATATAATGCCAACAAAATGCTAATCTCTACCCTCGCGTTGCCCCGTAGAACTTGACGCTTCAAACTATCGCTCAACATGTCTCTGACAGTTCCAGAGGCCCACCAGCAGTTCCAGGTATATTGCGTACCCCAGCCACCTATGGTCCACTCTAACTCCTCTATAAGCACATCTTGCGTCTGCTCAACACCAACGTCGATGGAAAGCGCAAGATCATGTACGGTATGTTTGCTGCTTTTGCCTTGATTACCGGGTAAATGCTCATAATTTCGGGTCGCCTCAGCCTTGACCGAGATTCGCGGTGTTGGTCGACGATACGCCAACGTTGTCTGCAAGAAGGCCGACGTTGATTTGAAGAAGCGGTACGAATGAAACAATTTCATCATATGGTGTGCTCAACTGTTTCCGTCGTTAGGGCTGGAGACCTTAACTCCGACGAGTTGGAGCGCATTGTTACCATCATGCAGAACCCCACCCAGTTCAAGATCCCGACGTGGTTCCTGAACAGGCAAAAAGACATCACTGATGGAAAGAACTCTCAGATTCTGTCCAACGCGATCGACTCGAAGATGCGTGACGATCTTGAGCGCTTGAAGAAGATTCGTGCGCACCGTGGTCTCCGACACTACTGGGGTCTTCGTGTCCGTGGACAACACACCAAGACCACTGGTGAGTATGTTGGCATATCTCCTCTGCGGGGCTGATTTTGCTTCAAATATAGGTCGTCGCGGCAAGACCGTCGGTGTCTCCAAGAAGAGGGGTTAAACGGTATCAACCTTTGGATTACTTGTGGTTTCGCGTCGCGCTATTCTCATTTGTATGCACCTCCATGCCCATGCCATATCACAAAATTCATCCGTGCGTGCGTGGAGCTTCAGTAAACATTTAATTGCATCTTGCGTCAGGCTTTGACACCGGCTAGTGCATAGTTAGTCCCCCGTCGATCGACAGACTTTGACCTAGTCACTTTAGTTTTCGTTTTGTTCTTTGGCCGCATTGAGATCATGGTGGGCTTACCTGTAATATTTTTGGCCGCTGGGCTAACTAGAAAAGATACAAGCCCCGCAATGTCTTCGGGAGATGTAATACGACCTGTTGCCATCTTGCTGAACACCTGCAATAACTGTTTGCAAATCAAGCCCTCGACTTGGCTTGCTTATATGCTTGCCTCTGCGCGTTCTGGAGCTACTCCCATTACCACTTTGTTCCCTGGTTCTAGTATGAGCGAAAGAGGTTCATAATATTAGTGGAACGAATACGTACACATGTCTGTATCGGTTGGTCCAGGTGCGTATGTATTCACAGTGATCCCGTGTTGTCCCCATTCCCGAGCCGCTGTTTGGGTCAAGCCACGAACTGCGAATTTACTCGCGCAGTACGCTCCTTCCAAGGGAAATCCTGACTTGCCCGCCGCGCTGCACGCACCAACAATGCGACCTCCCCCTCGTGGAATCATTGCTCGTGCAGCAGCCCGATAGCTATATAATACACCTTTAACGTTTACTGCATACACATCGTCGAACATCTGGTCGGTTGCTGATCAACTGTGATTAGATAATGTCTAGGACTCTAAAGTCACTTACTGTCGAGAAGTGGTATCCCCCTGTATATACCAGCATTCGCGACCATCTTCATTCAATAGCTTGCTTGGTATGGCCGGAACAAGGAGATGAATCATACATACTACGTCGATTCTATCGAGCTCTGTGACTGCGGTTTGCACTAGGGCCTCAACTTGTCGTTCGTCAGACACATCGCATATAACCGGAAGAACTCTAGGCGACGTGCTGCGGTTCAGCATAACACTTCGTTGTGCTTCGATGCATTCATCGACAACGAGCTGGAGTTGATTTTGATTGATCATAAGGTCTCCAAGAGCGAGCAGATATCCTTCTGATGCAAGTTCTTCGATCGCGCGTACGTAGAGTAGTGGTGAGCCTCGATCGTTGATCAGGAGCATACTGCAGACCTACTTATCGCAATAGCGCGGCCTATACCTACGAATTACCGTAAGCTAATGAGAGTGTTTTTAAACCCTACCTCGCCACACACCTTGAGCAGCGCCAGTAATAACTGCTACGGGCGGGTGATCCTGTTTCAATGAAGACATTGGCGCGCTGAACTCAGTTGAAGAGTAGACCAAGCTAAAGTAGAACCGCTTTGAGTCCACAAATCTGCAACCGAAAATCTTCGGGGAAGCGACTGTATACGATAATCTACGGAATCTTGAGATGGATTGAGTAAACGAGCTTCGTCACGTATGCCTTAAATGGCAGCCAGAGTCGATCGATCGAATGCATACATTTATAAATCAGTTGGAATCCACCGCCCACAAATATGCTTATCTTCGGTAACCAAGCTTCCAATGGTTACCCCCCCGTAAGAATCAGTTATCATTTCAATTAAGAGTTCGTTTGACGGTTCACTCTTTGTGGTCCCTGTGTCAAAAAGAGTTGACCCCTACCCGAGTTGAACGGATGACCTTGAGGAAGTGCCAACAAACTGGAATCTCACGCTCTACCACTGAGCTAAGAGGTCTTGGAAATTGGATTAGTAAAAATTTTGGATACTGTTGCGCAAGTCAAGTACGATCTCACAGCCAGGTTGTTTTGTTTCATCAACCGCCGACGTGCTGTCTGCCATCTCAATAGATTGTTTAGATAGGGGCCGATATAATGAAAAAATTTGCTCAACTATTTGACTGAAGAAACCTGAATACCGCTTTATGTGACAGTTAGTTGGCACTCGCTGTTGCCTGAAAATTACAGGGAACAACGACGTTTTGGGAGGAATTGGTGGGAGCGAGCAGATCCGAAAGTTGACAAGTGGTATAGCTCCTAGCCTATTTTATTTTTTAGCTATTTTCGTTGTATATGCTAGATAAGACCGCTACCAGTTCTCCAGATGATATTGCTGGGATAGTTTCCTTTCCGGTGAGCCCTATGGCAAAAAATATTACTGGCAAGTATGTACCATCTTTGAGACTCCGATACGGTAACGACTGGCTCCACAGGGCAGTCCATATTAATCGACGGATGTTTGTGTATACAATGATATATAAAAATATGGCATATATGCGGAAGTACCGCAATTGATGGGGTACCCGCATTTGTCTACCGTTGTTTGAACGTTGTCCCCTAAATATGTGCTCTAGACAGGGCGTGTGCTCACCCTTGACGGCGTATATGCACGTGTTCAAGGTTCCTCAGTATCAAATCAGCATCTATCCGGCCGCCCTAGCATCCACGCCATCACAATTGACCTGGCAGAATGTCTTCCACAGTCTCTGAGCCACATTCCCCCGTAGCTGTCATTACTGGGGCTGCCCAAGGTCTGTTCAATCGTACTCAGAGCGAGATAACACCTTACCATCGTCATCTTAGGTATCGGACGTGCAATTGCCCAAGGTATACTCTGAGCGATTAATCCATCAGCAAGTCTAACCGAAAGTTAGCACTCGCTGCCAAGGGGTATCTACTAGCCTTAGGCGATCTCCCATCCAAAGAAAAGGAATTACAGGCTGTCGTTAGTGAATGCACAGAAATACAACGCAACGCCATTTCTCCCGGTTTTATGTCGAAAATACTCCCGGTGATATGTGATGTTACTAAAGAGTCACAAGTCGAAGCATTGGTCCAAACAGCTGTCACCGAGTTGGGCGGGATCGACGTGGTATATATATCTTCGTTTTTTAGACACCCGAAGCAAACCTAGAGCCTGACTTCTACTTGCAGATGGTTGCGAACGCGGGGATTTTCAGACCAGGGTCACTGCTGAATGGTAAGCCTGAACCTCCCTACCCGCAGACTGATGGCATTCACACGCACCAGTATCCGACGAGGACTTTGATGAGGTACACGCAGTCAACGTCAAAGGGGTTTTATACAGTTACCGGGCCGCCGCACGGGCCATGATCGCGCGCGGTACTGGCGGCCGAATTATCGGAGCCTGCAGTAGAGCTGGCAAATATGGTGCTCCCGAGACTGGAGCATACACTGCAAGTAAGTTTGCCGTGCGTGGTTTGACTCAGAACGCAGCCCGCGAATGGGGTAAATTCGGTATTACCGTGAATGCGTATGCAGCTGGGCCTGTGGATACCGAAATGTGTGAGTTGGCCTTTATCATGTGTAGCATAGGGCTAAAGGAGGTGTAGGGAACGTCAATGTAGACAAGCTACAGGCTTTTCGAGGGGTAGGTGTGAGTGGTGAAAACAGTGATACTCAGAGCCGATTTGTCTACTATAGCTAGTCGCAAGTGCACCCACAGGGCGAATTACTTCACCTGAAGAAGTTGCTGGTCTCGTCACATTCTTAATTAGTCCGGCAGCTAAAAACATTACCGGTGAGTCTCAACCAACAATCACTGGAGTAGAGTTAGTTACACAACAGTACATAGGCCAAGCGATCTCGATGGACGGAGGATTGGTCATGAATTGAGTAGCTGGATACTTTGAAGTGGTGCTCCGCCTCCGAGACCTGCCCCCTGCGCCGAACGTTGGTCAAAGTAGATATAAAATCAAATATTTGCTTGCCCTCGGGTGGCTATCATTTATAGCCACTTATACACTTCATCCTAAACAGAAATCTGGTCACGCAGTATTACACAAGACCTGGTCAGACACGATGGAAACACGTTCCAATCTGTCAGTCCCCTCCTTGTACCTCGACAAAGCCTACTAAACGCCAACAACTCATACTTCTTACTCGTCTCAGCCTACGAGTTGAGACAGGATGTATTCAGATACACAAATCCCACTAACCACAAAGCACAACAAAAAGAAACAGGAAAAGGAGATGAAAAGCACAGAGCAAACAAGCAAAAATATTAAATATTAAAGTGACTACCGCTCAATGTTCCGACTCAACGGCCTCGAGCCCTCCGCATCCGCCGAACCTGCATACGGTTGGATCGTAAAGGGCGTACTCAGCGGTCTATCCCGTTCAGGCTCGATGTCACGCATTTTGCGCTGCCACTCGCGTGTCTGTTCTCGATCCCAGGGGTCGAGCTCTCGTTCGCTGGTCGAAGTCCATCCGCTGGCGTCGACCTGGTCTCGTCGTCGGGACGAAGTGGAACCATCCCAAGCTGGGGCAGGTGCGACTACATAGCTGTGAACGAGCGCGGGCGGGTACTGTGCCTGAGCTGGAGGCTGGCGATACGCATACACCCCTTTTGAGCGTGCGTAGGCTTCTTCGTCGTTTGCGTGTGGGGCTTGGTATGTGAACGGGCCAGATGGGGGGACCCCGTTTGTTGGGTAATACGATCGTCGAGGGGCCATAAGCTCCAAGTCGGAGACTGCCTCCGCATAAGAAAGAGGCGTGAGCGTTGGGGTGGCGCGGACGGGGGTAAAAGCACGCTGAGGGTTGGCATGCAGTTTAAGCAGGGATTTGAGCGAAAGCGGGCGAGGTAAAGAATGGGGCGCCGGAGGAACTGGTCGGACTATCGAATGATCAGCCACAGTCCGTAGTAGTATGAGCCCGAACATACCAGTGACTGGTCGCTCCGCGGTACGTTTCTCCCGTTCGAGCCGTCTTCGCTTTCGTGCATAATCCGTTCGCATGTTATCACGAAGTTCATCACGGGCATGACGCCATTCGGACCATGCTGCAGCCTCTTCTGCGCGCCGTATAGTAGCACACCAGTTGATTTCAAGCGTACGACGAGTCTCAGCAAGCTGCTTTCGCCTAGCACGTCGTTCATCAAGCTGACGTTGAAAAAAGACGAGCTCGGGATGTGTGCCTGTGGGTGCATTAGCTTTGATTCTGAACCTCATTTTAACACTCACCATCAAGGATCATGGCCTCTTCCCTAGCCGCCTCTTCCATTTTGTCTGCATAGAGTCGTTCTCGCAGCTCTGCAAACCGGACTTCCATGGCGGCCAACACGTCCAGAGCCTCGGCACGGTGCGGGGGTTGCATCTCTGGGTCGATCTCATTCTCATGCTCTGGCTCTGGCTCGGGGTCGGGGTCGGGTTCCTCCTCTTGCTCGGGTTCAATGCTCGCCTTGGAGTCGTCCCCGGGTACAGGCTCGTCCTCTGCTTCGACATCTGGCTCTGGTTCAGGCTCGGCCTCAACATCTGCGTCGGCAGCTTTTCGGGTGGCCTTGGTGTCGACCAGTTCGCCCGGTTCGGGTTCCTCTGCCAGCGCTTCGACATCAGACTTGGTCTCATCTGGATCCTGCTCAGACGCAGATGCGTTGTCGTCTGGTGGAGGGGAAGTGAGTTTCCGGGATTCGTTTTGGACGGGGTGAGGGGATGGGCGTGGGGTCGTTGCGTTGGCTATATACCAATTAGCAAATGTGCAAGAAAAATACAAACAGACATACTGTTGGCCCCCGAAACGGGGGTATCGATATCGTCCACAGCAACTCGGGCGGATGCGGGACCACCGGATGCTGGTTTGTCTAGCCGGCGAAGTGACGGTTCGCTCGTTGCCGTTGCGGGTGTCTCGTCGATTTCGCCCTCGCTCAACTGGGGGTTGTGAGCACGAATTCGCCACACGCAACACAACACTCACCTGTGCATCGAGAGTCTTTGCGGCTTCCGGTCCACTCGAGTGGCTGCGACTGGGACTGCCATCACGAGGTGCAATATCGAGGCCGAGACCGCTGACAGCCGACTGTTTGTTTTTCTTGTAGGCCCACTCCCACATCGTTGGGGGGACGAGAACGCCACTACGACGAGAGGAGCGCGAGTTGTGTGTCTGGGATCCGCTGGTGCTTGTCCCGCCGCTACCGCTGCTGCCGCCGTGCTGTGCGCCATTGACGGTGCTCTCAGAGGTGCCGCGGCTGTGGGCGCGGCGGGCAGTCTGCTCGTGGGACACCGCCGTCGTTGCGGGCTGTGTGCGTGGTCGGCGGCCGGGTCGGCGGCCCTTGCTCTTCTTGGCCCGCTGTGCGACCTCGTCCTCGTCGGTGAGCTCTGACGAGTCGGAGCCCGACTCGAGCCCTGCTGCGCGCGCCGACTTGTTCGCAAAGCGCGCTGGGTGGGGGAGGGCCGCCGATATGCGGGGGGGCGACGGCGTTGGCGGGCTGAGCGAGCCAGATGAGGCCCGGATCGAACGTGCGGGAGTCGACTCCATCGTCGTCTTGTCGACTCTTCCGACCGGCGCTTCCCACCTCCAATTGGTCATCCGCCAGTCACGTGGGATCTGTCATTCGGGATAGATCAGCCCCCTGGATGGCTGTGTGATGTCCGTCTGGGACGCATACAACTCGCATAGCATACACGACTCTTGTGCCCCGTTTGTTTTGTTGACAGAACTTGTGTTTCATCCGACTGAATGGAACTGGCTATCTGCGGTCGGTGCTTCAGATTTTGCCATATGATATGCCTTGTCTCGCTGCTGCCATGCTGCCCAGGAGACCTCGTCATGCGCAGGGCTTAGCATATATATTAATTTCGATCCATGAGCTCAGCAAGATCTGATTGGATGCTATAGCTTCTTCAAGAGCTGCGGCCCAGCTTTGCGCGTGATTCAAGCCACCGCAGACGTATATCTTGGAGCTACCCCTATGTCATTCTACGATCTACCGTCTACCACCAC